TGTTGTTGATGTTGTTGATGTTGTTGTTGGTGCTGTTGTTGTAGTTGTTGTTGTTGGTGTTGTTGTTGTTGCTGCTGATGCTGCTGTTGCTGTTGCTGTTGTTTTTGTTGCTGCTGCTGCTGCTGTTGTTGTTGTTGTTGTTGTTTGTTGTTGTTGTTGTTGTTGTTGCTGTTGCTGCTGCTGCTGTTGTTGTTGTTGAACATTATTTATTCTAAAGAATAATTATTGTTGGGACCCCTGGTGCGCGACCCCCCTGCGCCGCCTAGGCCGCAGCTACATTTTCATCATTTTCGTGAGGAAGCCTCAGGTAATACGATGTGATCAAGATCCGGTTGTTTTGTTCCCCCCCGCTCCCTTGCAAAAAACACTATAAAATGAAATTTCTTGTTCTAAAATAACCAAACTTCAAGAACCATTTTTCCCTTGCGAAATGCCAAGACCTTGCAAGAATCCCTTGCAAAAAATAAGGTAAAGTGGACATTCGCGCGCGCAAGACGAAATCCTTCCAAAACCTTAGTGTTCGTAGCGATTTCAACATAAAAACATCAAAAAACCAATGGTTTTTTTTTTTAAAAAAAAAGTGTCACAATTTCATCCCGCGCGCTCTTGCGGATTTGCAGGAAACCCAACTTTTTTAAACATTTCTGTCAAACGGGCTTTTGCGATCAACTTCTTCACGTGCTTCGAACTTCTCCAACAACGGTTGCGCACCTGCCAGGGCCATCATCCCTGTCAAATAATACCATGCGGGACACATTCGTTTTTTCTTTCCGTGCGCACGCCGAAATCTTCAAAAACCATTGGGTTTCGTAGGAATTTTAGCACCGCGCAACATAAAATCATTTTTCGCACCGTAGGCCCTTCAAATCGTCGTCGTCGTATACTAAGCTAGTTTCCACAAGATGTTACCACAAGAAGTCATTGAAACCATGCGCCAGTGTAGTAGCCACGGTCGTCCGCATGCCACGAAGTGAAGTGTCCGAACGTCATAGGGCGGGAAGCTGGGTGTGGGTGGTGGCGAAGAGTCGTTTGGAAATGTGGTAGAGCTTGAACCGGCCCCCCCACAAAGTGGGGGTATTGGCGGGCGTCGTATGAAAACCCTGGCACTGGTGAGAACACTGAGCGTTCGGGTAAAATGATTGTTGTTGTTGTTGTTGTTGTTGTTGGGGTTGTTTGTTGTCGTCGTCCCACCCGCGACCCACCACGACCCACCCCGCGACCAACCCCGCGACCCACCCCGCGACCCAACCCGCGACCCATTCGCGACCCACCCCGCCACCCACCCGCGACCCACCCGCGACCCACCCGCGACCCACCCCGCGACCAACCCGCGACCCACCCCGCGACCCATCCGCGACCCACCCGCGACCCACCCGCAACCCACCCTGCGACCCACCCGCGACCCACCCCGCGACCCACACTCAAGGGAGGCAAACCCCCCCGGACCCGACAATTGACGTTTACTACAACGGCCCTGGGCGCTGACTAAACAGCCCTGCCCTGTTCGATTCATTCCTTCTGTGGGTTTACTACACGGCTTCGCTTGTCGAAGTGATTCTTATGGGGTGGATTTTCTGCCCTCTACACCCGCGACACCCACAACCCAACAGCGACCCACCCGCGACTCATTTGCGACCCACCCGCGTGCTGGGGCATGACCAGGCTACGTCTCAGACTTCTGGATGGACTGTTGGAGCCATCAAGCTTTGCACACAGCACTTGTCCGATCTGACAGATACGTTTTAAGTGGGAATTCGTATCAGTAGGCTCGTGCTGGCCAACGCCTTCGACAGACAGCAGGCCAATTTCGAGCGACCCGGCCGATCTTCGATTGGCGGTTGGTCCCTGAGGTAGCGCATTCCTCTTCCTTGTCCTCGCCCTCCCCTTTCTTCCTCTCTTCCCGTCCTGCCTCTGCTCCGCCTCCTTATCCCAGCCCGGTTTCACCGATACTATATTGCGGTGAATTCGTATCGCTCCGCGTTCGCACGCAGCACCAGAGGTGTTAACAAATCGTCCCCAAGACGCCCCCCCGCTTGCGGCGCCTTTCTCCTCCCCCCTCTTCCCCCCTCTTCCCCCTTCAAGTGGCCGGTGCCCTCACATGTCTGGCATGGGCTAGATTTTTGAGTCACCAACGCTTGCGACAACCAATTTTGTCAACCACGCTGCCCACTCTCCCTCCTCTCCCTCGTGACTGGTGTTTCGCATGGTGGGGTCCCTTTTTCCTTCAGTGGGAAGACTGGCAAGGCCCATCATCCGCGCATTGGTTGCATGGGGAAAAAATTGCGACCCACCCGCGACCTACCCACATTGGTTTAACGAAAAAATCTGCGCCTGCGGCGGGCTCGTTGTATACGTTGTGAAACTTTGGCGCCTGCGGCGGGCGTCTCCATAGTCTCGCAAGCTGCCGACGTCCCCACCGCCCCCTCACTCTTATCCGCTTGCAGGGTGCTACACATATATATATATATATATATATATATATATATATATATATATATATATATGTGTGTGTATATGTGCACATATGTATCGACACTCATACGTATACGTCGACGCAAATGTACGTACCATTTTGAGAGGGGGCCGAACGGTCATTCACTGTCCCTGGGTGTTTGGCTGAAGTGGGGCTCCACGGTGCGGATTGTTGCTGCGTTGTTGTGTTGGGTTGTTGCGTTGTTGTCGTCGCCCTCGCCCGCGACCCGCCCGCGACCCATCCCGCGACCCACCCTGCGACCCACCCGTGACCCACCCGCGACCCACCCTCGTTGTTCTGTCGAAATAAAACCGGCGCGTGAATCGAGCTCCTTATGTCATACGTTTAAGATAAAATCGGCGTTTGCGGCGGGCTTCTTCTCAGCTTTGCAGACTACCAGCGACCCCGCCGCCCCCTCATTGTTATCAGCAGTCGCGGGATGTTACACACAATCCGATATATACATGCATGTGTATTTTTGTATATATGTATCATGCGCAGTAGCGTTATACGCGGACCGAACTGAGACCTCGCCCATCCTCGGGGGGCTGCAATCTGGGAACCTGTCGTCACTTTCGAGGGCTGCTGGGGGGAGTCACCGGAGTGACGTCATGCGCGGAACTAATTAGATCTGGCGGGTTGCGATTTGCGAAAGTGTCGCCACGTGTGAGGGCTGTTGGGGGGTCCAGCGGGGTGGTGCCATACGCGGGCGTAGACTCGAACTCGCCATCTCTGGAGAGCTGCGGTGTGCGAAATTAGGACCTGTCAGGGGGCATTTCACGGACCCGTTCGCGGCCAGGTTGTTTGTTTTGCCCCCCCCCCCCCCGGCCGCTTCCCCTTCGAATCATATTGATTGCATACGTCGAGCGAGGCGCTGGCGAGGAGCAACCAGGGGGGACCCGTTCGTGGCCACATTGTGGGGATGCCTCCAGCTGTTTGCGTGTTTGGGCGCCGCCGACCCTTCCGCTTTCAGAGCAGTTTGCGAGAATGTTTCGCGCGGGAAGCTGGCTTCAGCACCACGGGATATTGCACGGGCCTGCTCGCGGCTAGATCGTGCTGATGTTTCGGGCGGTTTGCACGGTTTGGCCCCCAGACCTTTTGCTTTCAGAGTTGGTTGTGAGGATGTCTCGAGCGAGGCGATGGCATCAACGCTCTGAAGGGGAGCCGCCAGGGGGTATTTCACGGGCCCGTGCGCGGCCACATTGTGGTGATTTCTCAGGCGGTTTGCTTGTTGTGGGCCACCAGACCCCTTTGCTTTCACAGCAGATCGCGGGGATGTCTCGAGTGAGGTGCGGCGGCAGCACCCCGATAGGGAGCCGCCAGGGGGAATTTCACGGGCATGTTCGCGGCCAGATTGGGGGGGTGTCTCAGGTGGTTTGCTTGCTTGGGCGCCGCAGACTCTTCGACTTTCAGAGCAGAGTGCCAGGATATCTTAGGCGAGGCGCTGGCGTCAGCACCCCAAGAGGGAGCCGCCAGGGGGAATTTCACAGGCCCGTTCGCGGCCAGAGTGTAGGGGTGTCTCAGGTGGTTTGATTGTTTTGGCGCCGCTGTTTTTCCTGTTTTCAGAGCAGAATGTCAGGATATCTCAGGCGGGGCGCTGGCTTCAGCGCGCCATTGGGGGTGGCCGCCATGGGTGATTGCACTCCCGTTCGCGGCCAGACTGTGGGGATTTCTGGAGCGAGGCGCTTGTATTGCACCCCCGACTAGTGGCCATTCAGAACCTGATGGCCACCTCGCTTTAAGAAAAAGGACGCCCACACCCAGGCACTCACAGCCAGACGCTCACAACGGGACGTGCCAGAAGCTGAGATGCACATGTGGGGATCTCCGCGTCGAGCAATTGGGTGAGGCCGCGCGGACAGCTGGCTAGTGGAGCCGCGCGCAGCCAGAAGAGATCTCTTGCGAGGAATGGTGGCAATCCTGTTGGGGGGGGCGTACCTCGGACGTCGAAATCTTTTCGCAGCGTGGGCTCCTAGAGGTCTCGGCCCCTTTCGCCAGGACCAGATTTTCATCCGGAGCGGGCAGTTCAGTTGACGGCCTCTGGCCAGGGCCAGGCAAGCACCCTCTGAGGCTGAAGGTGGCTCCAAGACTTCCTGTCAGGTTTTATTCTCGGCGACGAGCCCGGGGGGTTAGTATGAAGGGGCGGGCCTTCTCTGAAGGCTCGGGAGTCTCCCAGAGACGTTTTCGGCACTTCCTCGAACATGTAAACAACTGTTCAGAAGGCACCAGGGTTTGTGAGAAGTCCCGCCGCCTTCTGAGAGGGCCTTCTCCTTCTCACTTCTCCCCCTCGCTCGCCACCGATATCCATGACCCGAGGAGTCATGGGGCTACAGTGGGGTCGCGTACCAAGGAGCCGCTCGTGCTCCTCCAGGGCGCCCAGGATTTCTTGGTATCTTCGGGGTATACGATGAGAGCGCCAGGGTTCCGAGCCCCCGAGTGCATCGAATTCCCGTTGCTTCAGGGTCAGAGTTTCTCATGGAGGCTTGGGCTCGGGGAAGAGATCTCGGCCGCGCGGCCGACGCAGCAGGACGTCCTCGCCGGGCGGCCCATGTCGCCGATGCCCCCCGTGGTCATGGCCCCGTCGCCGATGCCCCCCGTGGTCATGCAGCCAGCGCAGGCCGCGGAGGGTAAGGTGCTGCTGGCAGTCTATGCTTGACGTCGTACGCGAGGGGGAGGGGCAGCCGCGACGGCAAGGAGCAGAAATCTTCAGCAGCATAATTGTCAGGAACAGAGGCTTATGGCAGGAGGGGGAAGTGGCAGCAGGAGGCGTATCTGCGCGGAGGGAAAGGTCTGGCGAGGAGGGCCTCCTCTTCGCGGGTGGCCCGGATGCCGCGACATTGGTCGGGCCCTCCAACCCGCCTTTTTCGGTTCGCGCGGGAGTGCCTCCCCTGACCACGCACGTCGCATGGGTCGTCCACACCTAAGGAGTGCCATTCCGCTTGAGTGCCCTTTGGTGCGCGGCTTCCGCGGGGCGCGGTGGGGTCCAAGCCCAGGCACGCATGCCGCTACCGCCGCACCGCATGCAACTATCGGCAAGCCGCGCGCCAGATATCATTCCTGCCTAAGGTTACTCCTGCGCATCGCCCATGAGGATCCCTCGTCGTCAGTCGCACGCGGATCCCTGGCCATCCTTCAGGGGACAGAGAACCCCAGCCAGACCAAAAGCGAGGTGCTTCCCCAGGGTTGGCAAGGGAGTCCCCCCCAGGAAAGATCCTGACCGAGCATTGGCCCCTGCTCCTTTGTTTGGTTCTGTTAGGGGTCCCCTTCTTCTGGCGCTGTTGCATATCTTGGCGCGGCCGATCCGATTCGATGCCGACTCCGTGCCGATAAGTTCCGATCCGGAGCACATCTTGATTTGATCCGACTTGCCTTGGGTCCCTCTTGATGCAGGGTGATCCTGCAATTGCCGAGTGTCCCTCTTGCGCGTAGCCGACTGAGGATCCCTGGTCAGACCCCGCCCCGGAGAGCTGGCCTGCCCCTCGCAGTGGCGCTTTCCTCCCCTGACCGTCTCCGACCTCTCCGGTGGCAGTGCTACCCTCCCGAGAGCTGGCCAGGTGCAGGAGCCCATCGCCTGGCAGGTGCGGGAGCCCGCGGCCGTGGCGCCCCTCGCAGGCGCGCCCGAGGTGCTGCAGCCGGCCCAGGCCCCGGGCGGAGGGGGAGGCCGGGAGGGAGAGCGCTGAGCGAGGGAGGGGCCATGGATTCGAGGTCCCAGCCAGGGCTGGACCTAAACGGTGCTTTTGCGTCTTCGTGGGCCGTTTTCGTTTCGACTTCGCTGTGCGGTAAATGCGGATTGAAGACAAAACGAGGGAACACGAAAACAAAACGAAAACGAACAACACCGTTTAGGTTCAGCCCTGGTCCCGGCCCACCTTGGCTGCCCTGACACGCCCGTTCTGAAACACAATACGTACCGTGTTCACATCGTCCGTGTCAACACGCTGCGTTTTGGCTCAACACGGGTTGGCCCACGTTTTGGTGAACGTATCGCGGCAGGCTTACGTTCTCAGTCTACGTGTTGAGTTCCGTGTCAACGCGCTACGTGCTGTGTGTTGCGTATCGGGGCAGCTTGGATCCCCACCCAGCCCCTCCAGGAACGATGCCTAGGGGAGCTGCCCTCATCGGGGGAGCGAAGCATCATGTGGATACCTTGAGGAGCCTCAGTGAACTAGGTGCCTCTGGATGCCTCTTGGAGTGGCTTGGGATGTCTCCTGGGCGTCTCTCGATGGCCTCTTGGAGCGTCTTGGGGGCCTCTTGGGGGCCTCTTGGGGGCTCCTGGGGGCTTCTTGAGGCGTCTTGGGGGTCGTGGGGGCCGTTTGAGGGCCGCTCGGGAGCCTCTTGGTGGGGGTGTCTCGGGGGCGTTTTCGATGACTTCTGGATGCCTTGGATGCCCTCGTAGGATGTGTGTTTCGTATGGCGTATGGCTGCCTTTTTTTCGGGTGGGCTCAGCAAGGGTCCTCGTCGCCGCGGCTGGATTCGCCGCGATATTTCGGCCACGAGAACACACAATCAGACACAAACACAGACACACCAGAGACCAGGGGCGGAGGGTTGAACCCCCCAATCCTAGATACCCAACGTTTGCAAAGTCAATACCTGTTTCGCTTCTCTCGGCTTTCTCCGCTTGTCCTCAGATGCGTCAACACATGTTAATTTCTATTGCGGTATATTGGTCTTCAGGAGGGGTCGAGCTCTGGGGCCCAAGGGGGAGTTCGAGGAGGAGGGGGAGGAGGGGGAGGAGGAGGAGGCGGAGGAGACGGAGGAGGAGGAGGAGGAGGAGGAGGAGGAAGAGGAGGATTTGGGATGAATGAGGAAGATGAGGAGGATGCTGATGAAGTCAAGGAGAAAGAGGAGGAGGAGGAAGAGAAGGAGGAAGTGGAGGATGCCAAGGAGGAGGGGCAGGGTGATCGGGAGGAGGAGGGACAGGAGGAGTGAGGCAGGGGCGAAGGGGGACATAGTGATCAGACAGGCCCGGGAAGACCACAGGTGGGTCCAGAACTTTCTGGAACGCTCTCGGAGCGCTACGGTACGGCCGCGGCCCCCGATACATGCTCCAGATCGGTCTGGTCTAAGAGATTCGCGCGTACATGGGCCCGAGGTTGTCTTCATCTTGCTTTGGTCTGAGAGGGTGGAGGAGGATGAAGATTGAGGATTGATATTTTCCGGCTGTGTTGTTCAGCTTCAGGGAGCTCCACTGAGCTCCTGGGGTCACCCAGGACCTCCAGGGACCTCCAGAGGATGCAAATTATGCACCTGAAGCGGCCGATCTTAGCCAGCCCGATCCTGGGCCCAAGATCAGTGTATGCGCGCTCCTGGCTTGGCCAGGAAGGCTCATACACCGATCCTGTGCCAGGAAAGGGCGGGCCGGGGTTGGGTGTCGGTGTATCGGTGACGCCCTCTTGCAGACAAAAACCCATCACCACCATCACATTGGGGGGGGATGCAGGAGTTTCGGACTTGAGGGATGCAGGCGCAGGATTCCCTGCGAAAGAGCCCGAAAAGCTGTAGACCCCCACCACCCCTGACCACACATTCTGCCTTCCCTTCTCCAGGAGACAATCTTATATCCTCTGGTGATAACGGGCGTGACTGGGGGGGGGACTGATCACGTCGCCATTGGTGCAGGCGCCGATTGAAAACGCTTAGAAAATTCTAATTCCCAGACGGCGCCAGCGCAAAACTTGACGTGACCAGGGGGGAAGGGGTGGTGGGCGAGACCGGTCACGGGCGCTATCGCGGATAATAAAGGAAATGTGTTCCAGGTGGTGGTGGCAGTGAGCTTCGTGTTCCTCCGAGAGGAGGGGAAGTGCTTGGCGCTTCGCGCATCTCAACGACCCCATTCAGAATCGATACCCAGTGGAGTTGTGGGGAGAGTGGGCGTAGATGGTAGACAGGGGTATAGTGAAGTATAGGGCCCAACGATGGTAATATAAGATACCTCTGCGAGCCTCTTGGAGGCCTGTTTGATCCATTTCTGGGCCCTTGCGGGAACGGTCTGGATCCTCGTGGGAGTCTCCCTCTTGGGGCCATCGTGGAGGCCATCCATTAGAACAGCGGGTGACGTCGATCAGTGTCGCCCCATCTGAGCCAAACACATGTCTTCTGTAAGCCTTCTTGGACGCTCTTGGGGCGGGCGCATAGCGCCATCGGAAGGGCGCGCGCGCTCTGGAGAGGGCAGCCTCGCGAAAAGGGCGCGCGTGCGCGCGGGGCGGCGGCGCCTCGCGGTGCGCGCGCGCACGCGTGCGCTGCTGTTCATGTTGCATCGCCATGGGCGCCGTTCGGTTCTGGTGCGCATGGGCGCCGCTCGGTTCTGGCGCGCCGCGGGGAACCCATCGGGGCGGGCCGCGGCGCGCCTCGGGGTCGCGCGTGTCGCAGGCGCTGGCGCCTTGCGTTTCGCCGTCGCAAGCGCCGCGCGCGCTTTCGCCTGTCGTGGCTGTGTGTTTGTCGCGGCTGCTTGTCTGGGCTGCTCGTCGCGGCTGCTTGTCGTGGTTGTTTAACGTGGCTGCTTGTCGTGGCTGTCCGCTTGGCTGCCGGTCGCGGCTGTCGCGTCGCGGCTGCTTGTCGCGGCTGTCTTTCGTGCTCGCTATGGCTTGCGCTGCGGCCGCTTGTCGTGGCTGTTGGGCCGTCGTGTCGTGGCTGTCTGGCGTGGTTGCCTCTCGCGGCTGGTTGGCTGCCGCGTCGTGGCTGTCCGTCGCGGCTGCCCGTTGCGGTCGTGCCTGGTTTTCGCTTCGTGGCTTATGCTGGTCGCGTCCGCCGGTCGCGTTGTCGGCGTCGCGTCGCGATTGTCGCGCTGTCGCGTCGTGGCTCTTCGGTTTCGCCGTTCGCCGCCGCCCGCGCGCGCGCGCTGGTCGCCGCCCCCCCCCATCCCTGTGCAGGTTCCTGCCCCGCTCCCCCCGCCAGGCGCAGATGTGTCCTCTCCTTCCACGACGAGCTCCCCTCGTTTGTTTTGCTGGTTCGGAGGTCAGGACTTCTCTTCCGCAGTGGGCTGGCCCACGCACCTGCTCCGCCCTTGGTGCTGCTTCTGGGGTTGTCCTTCGCACGTGCTCGCTCTGCCTGTCAGGCTTCTCGTGCCACCGCGCGCCATTACCCGATGGCTCTGCGGTCGCGAGGCCCAGTCGGCCCCGGCCGCTGGCGCGCGCCAAATACGCGGGTTCAGGCCAACGTGGCTCGCTTCTACACGGCGCATATTGTCCGTGGGTCCAGAGAGACCACGCGGGGCCAATCCCGGCTTTCGCTGGGCCGCGGGCCCACTCGGCCTCTACATGCGGCGGACTTGGGGCCCAGTCGGCCTTGCCGCAAATGCAGGCCAATACGGCTTGCTTCGATGACGGGCGCATGCTGCCCCTCGGCCCCAGGTGGCCAAGCGGGGCAAATATGGCTTCCGCATGTTTCGGCGCAGGCCAATACGGCTTGCTTGCGCACGGGCGCACATTGTCCGTCGGCCCAGAGGGACCATGCGGGACCTATACGGTTTTCGCAGGGGCGCGGGCCCATTCGGCCCCAGTGCACAGTGGATCTGGTTCCCAGTCGGCCCCGCCGCACATGCTGGCCAACGCGGCGTGCTTTGTTACGGGCGCATTCTGTTCGTCGGTCCAGGTAGCCACGCGGGGCCAATTCGGCCGCGACTCAGGCGCAGGCCCCAGTCGGCCCCGGCTCACTGGCGTTCTGGGGCCCTGTCGGCCCTCGCCGCTCTTGCGTGCAGGGCGGCCTGTCTTCTCGCGGGGTCCATGGGCGCTCTTCGGGCGTTGACGCAGGCGGCCTCTTGCGTCTCGTGGGGCCGTCCTGCTCGTCGACCGTTTCGCTTGCGTCCAGCGCAGCGCCGGCTGAGAGTTGCGCATCGCGCGGGCCCGCAACGCGTTGCTTCGATAGCCGATGCGCGGCCGGAGACGATTCGCGCTTTTCTTGGGCGCGTCGAGGGGGCGGGCGAGCAGCCGGGCGCCTGGTTCGACCCGGTCGCAGCGGCGCTCGCGGCTGAGGGCATTTCTGTGCCCTCGGAGTTGGGCAGCGCCAAGTTAGGGGTTTTTCGCTTCCAGCGCGCAGAGCTGGATGGCGGCAAGAAGCGAAGCATCCGCGCTGCCAGCAAGCCTGCCACGCGCGACAAGGTCCGCGCGCCCGCGAAGCGCGCGTCGCAAGCACGCGCGTTCGCGCGCAGGGCGATTCCGCGAGCAAGGGGCAGGCGGCGGCTTCGGCGCCGTGCAACGGAGGCGCCGCCGCCGCCCTCCTCGCGTTTCTCCAAGAGAAGGACGAGGCGCCAGTCGAGCTCGCTCGCGCCCGCCGACGCGAGAAATCGCGAGCCTCGCGGCGCGGGCGCCCGCGGCGGCCCACGCGGACAGCTGGGCTTCCCCCAAGGATGCGAACCTCGAAGGTTTGCCCGGCGACCTCTCGCCCAGGCGCCGTCTGGTTGGCCACGGCGGCGCCCGCGCGCGATTTCCTGTTTTTGCGCGCGAAGCTCGCGGCGCAGCTCCGACCTCGTTGAGCTTGCCAGCGAGGCGGCCAAGCTTAAGAAGCGCGGGGTCGAAGAAGGTTTCGTCTGCACGAAGCTGGCCAAGTGGCTGCCGCGGCACTTCGCCAGCGCGCTTCGCGACGCCGGCGAAGTCGAAGTGCTACTTTCCGAGGGCCAGAAACTTGGCGCAGGCGCGGCTCT